TCCTTTTTCCCACCTTTCTCAGTTTAATTACTAAATATTGGTCAAACTGAGAAAATTTAAATACTTACACTCTAAGTATTGTAATACCTTCCTCAGAGTTATTAATGCTTAGCTGCTTTTGCTTGTATTGGTCAATAAATTTTAAAACAGTTTCGAAAGACCGCTGTATGTGGAGCTAAAAGCCTTATATGTGAGCACACTCACTGTATTTGTGTTCATGTCTTTTGGACTGTAAGTTATTTAGGGAAAGCTACTTGAATGCAATGTCTATATCTTCCAAGAATTCCTGTCTATGGGACATGTACCAGAGATGAACTAGCACTTTAAGCTTAAAAACAGAAGTAACAATGGTGTATGTAGTAGTGAAGATATGACATTGCAAAACAGAGTGTACCCCCAAAACCAAAAGATGTCTGATAATTATCCATTTTATTTGTTGATTCAGTTGATACCATTTTACATTTGATTTCATTATGTACTGAACATATTTTAGAAAGTGACCAGAAATATATTTATATTAGAAAGTATTTAGACATTTATAATAGAAAAACTGTTCTTAATTTGATCTAATTTTTACTGAAGGATGTACAAAAGTAGGTCTATAAGGGCATGCAAAAGTAAGTCTATAACATAGATTCTAGATAACTAAAGAGAAGCAATGAGAAAAGAAGTACTTTCGTAATTTTCAGTAAAGCACTTGGTATGGTTACACATTAGAATTTGTTTAGTCAACTAAAATCTAGGGAGTTAGTAATGATAAAATGACTAAGGAGCTGGCTGAAAGGGAGATGATATGGGTTCAATGAAATGGGAAAATACCACCATGAGGAGTTATTATTGAAGTTTTCCAGAGACCACCTGGGAAAAAACTTTTTCAATGTTTGGAATTGGATAACAGTGAAGCCTGACACATTAAAAGGGATATGAAAATTAATGTTACAAAGTACAAGATCTTATACTTAGTTAATAGTAAGAAATAATACTTTAAGCTGAGAAGTAATCTACTGCAAAGAGCACAGTAGAAGAAAGTTGCGTGGACCTGTCATCCAAAGGGCAACTGTGAGGAACCAGATGAGATCAGTGTGAAAATGGCAATTGCATTCTACAGGCATATTGGCAGAAATCATTCGGGAAAAGATATGGATTAGTTGACACACTGCACTTCATTATTCTAATTATTGTGTATAGTTTTCTCTCGTGTTTTCAAGAGGGTTGAATTCAAGCTGGATGAAATACAGTGATAACTTCAGTAATGAAAAACATGGTGGGAGGAACGAGAAGAACTTGGCTCAGGATCATTAGGCAGGATGAAGGGGAGTGGAGTTTGCAGAATGTCTGTAACAGCCAGGAAATTTCTCAAACCCTTTCCACCATATAAAACACATTCCTCAACCAATGCAGAAATGTCTTATATTTAAATAATTAGTTTTGGTTTGGTTTACTTGTTGAGGTTTTTTGTTTGGTTGGGGTTTTGTTTGTTTATTTGGGTTGTTGGGTTTTGTTTGGGGTTTTTTTGTGGTTTTGTTTTGATTTTGGGGATTTTTTTGTTTTGTTTTTAAGGTGTTTTGCTTTGTTTTGTTTCATTTTGTTTCTACATTTTAAAATCTTGGATATTTTTGAGCCTCTTCAGAAAGAGTTCCTTTTTCCTGATCAGTGTTAGAGTTTGAAAATGTCTTCCCAATAGTTAACACTTATTCTGCTTTCTCCCTTTTTGCCTATTTTATAATCCTCTCATTTTATGTTATTTCCAACCAGACATTTTTACACAGCTGTCTGCTGTCTTCATCTTGTAACCACACTTCTAGCTTTTATTTAAATGTTTGGGTTGTTCAGGTTTTTTTGTTTGCATTTCTTTCCTTTGTCTGAAAGAATGTATCCAGTAACTTTTGTAATTAAGAACCAGGGATGCATGTCAGATTGATATTGCATCTGGAGGAGTTACAAACAAGCTCACTAAGGTACACCATAGCAGAGCATTCACACTTCTGATAATGGCAGTATAAAAGGTAATATCTTATATAAAAGGTAATATAAATATATATATTTATATATATAACTGCTGTGTAACCAACAATATCCACATTTACTTTTTTGCTTGGTGATGGTGTCGGTAAGCAGAATTTATTTCACTTCCATTTTTTCTATACCTTTACTCTGTCTTTACATTTAAAATTAAATAAAAAAAAAAGTGTGTGACTAAACTTCAAATAATTATTATTGATTTACAAAGGCAACATGGATGCAAAGCTATCCTAGTTGTCCTAGTCGGGGATATCTCTCAGTGACCTGACATCACTATCTGTCAAAAAAGTATGTTGTCTCAGAACCAGGTTTTCATTTCTTTCAAGGAGGAAAGAAGAGATTGTAAATGTGTCATTTAGTTCCTGGGCCTAGCTTTTATGTTTCCAAAGGAATGTCATGGAGCCTGGGCTCTGAGAGAGGTGCTGCTCTGTGAACCTGAGAGTTTTTTGCACAGACCACACCCTTCCACCTCCAGCCGCATCTGCATCTTTCACCATGGCTGCAGACTGTTAATGGTCAGGGATTTTCAGGGAGTGACCTGTCAAAAAGCTCTGCACTAGGTACTGCCCTGTAAGCTTAGGGCTTTTTGGGTTAGGTGGTGCTTTTTTTCCCCAATAAGGAGAAAACATATACAATAGTTTTCCCCTCAGATAATAAGAAAAGCAATAATGCAACCTATATATGATATTTCCTGTGAAATAATAACTTATAAGTAATTTTATAATATATGAAGGTTTTTCACATAAATGTTGTTCAATATTTTGTGGGAAAGCAGTGATTCTGGTGCATTTATTAGAGTTTTTTTTCATAACTTGTAAGAAATATGTAACATCAGTGCATTGGCCAGTTCCAGGTAGTACAACTGTTTCTTCATTTTGCAAAATTTTGCATTTGACTGTTTTGTTACAATGTAAGCATGAGATAGCTGTTGTAATTGTCATTTAAATATATTGTATTGAAAATTGAGAATTTTTAAAGACATTCTTAGGGAATTCCTCTGGCAAAATTTGTATTATCATACATTATTATTATTATTATTATTATTATTATTATTATTATTATTATGTTTATAATTACTATTTTAAAAGTTTTTAAAAAAGTAATTGAACTATTAGTGTCAACAACATGATACATTAGTCTCTTAGTTTTGATTTCAGAATATCATTTTTGCTAATGTAGTAAATTTTAAGTTTTACATTTGGTAGATGTTCTCTTTTATAGTGTTGTGCTCTAATTAAAAAATATAAACATGTCTATAATAGCGATTGGTCTTATGCATACAGGCATACCTAATAATACTAGAGTTAATTAAATAAAGGTTTTGAAATCTTGTAGAATTTAAATTGTCTGTGTCAGTTTATCATATGAGACTTAGCAGTTTTCATAGAGGGCCCTATAATACCAGATGATTTCATGATCACTACTTCATGCCTTAAAGTATACTGATTAGTGACTTCAAAAATACAGATAATTACCCCTTTGTAAATGGAATATCAGAATACTTCTCTACCTTTTGAGATCTTTGCATAGTGAACTCAGTAAAGAGACAAAATATGGCTACTATTAGTTGCCCACCAGTTTTGAATCATTCAGTAATCATAAAGTTGTCTCTCAGTAAGTCTGCATGACAGTGTCACTGAAAAACCATCTCCTGTAACATAGAAGCTGAAGTGCTTCTGAGGATGCAGTAGGTTTAAAAAACTACAGTAAATAGCAGAATAGTCAGTTTAATTTGTACATATTCCTTTTCTTAGTGTAACGCATTGTGTCAGGTAATGCATCTACTTAAAAAAGGTCAGTCTCATTTGGGCATGTCTGGTGGGCACTGTCACTTCCATTTTGAGTCATAGAACAATCCTAAAAGAGAAAAGAACCAGGATGGGCTCTCTTTGGATCTAAATATAAAAATATTATTTTTAATCACATTTTTTAACAATTTAGTTTGATTATTTAAAAGCAAAGCTTAGTTTCCTGAGGATATTGATATGCTTTTTTAATGCTTGCATATTAGGGGGGTATGAAGTATTGCTTTTATGATGCTAAAAAGAACATATAAGGAATCTTAGCTTCCTTATAGATTCCTGCTTTGTTATAATGAAAGTACTAATGTCTCTCTTATATGAAAGTATTTTGGTAATTAAAAAATAATAGATACATGATGCATTTTGTAGTTTACTTGAAGAATGAAAGATAAAAAACTAGAGATTTTTCATGCTTTACTGGCTGAGTGGAAAAATTGCTATTTGGATGATATTCAATTCCTATATAGTTCTTTTGTCTAATATGACAAAATCCTTACAAATATAGAATTTTGATATGCTGTGTATAGTCAGGCACACCCCAAATGAAAAAACCAACTCTCAGCTGATCAGCCTGTAACCTAAGGCAATTACACAAGAGAGAAGAGTATACAGTGTCATCAGTCTGATATGTATCACTCCTTTTTTATCCAAGTGTCCAAATGAGTTCTGGGACATAGAAGTGAAGAGGCCTTCTGTTAATATTGGAGCTATTTAGTATATAGATGAGTGGAGAAAGACTCAAGGTCTGTACTCCTGTCACACATCTAAATTTTTTAAAGATTTTTTTTTTTAAACACAGAATAATGATGAACTGTTAGCTAACACGAAAAAAAAAATAGAATGAAGTTTCTGACTATTCCACTGCTCTGGCATTAACTGTCAGATAACTTCTGGTGTCTGACTTCGGATACACCATCATGTGTATTACAGTCTTACCTCTGAATTCATTTTCAAGTTAAATACTTCTTCTTACAGCATGATACTTGTCAGTCAATGTAATTGAAATGTCACGCTGACCTTTATTTGAAATCCTCTGAAATTCCTGGGGTTTTTGGAAGTTCTTTTTATTTTCATTCCATTTAAAATACGTAAATTACCCATGGTCAAAAAGTGCATGCTAATTAACTGTATGAAACTGCCTGCTAATTGATCTTACAAACAGTATGTCTTTTGCAGATGTAGTTCAGCTGAGTCTGCCTGAAGATCAAAAAATAAGCACCACTGCAGCAACAGTGGGACAAAGTGCTGTCTTAAGTTGTGCCATCCAGGGAACACTGAGACCTCCCATCATCTGGAAGAGGAATAATGTCATTCTGAATAGATTAGATTTGGAAGATATCAGTGTAAGTAGCAGAAAGTTCTATTTCACAGCTTATTATCAAAACTTGTCATAAATAATAGAAAAGCTCCTTACTCCTGGTATTTCAAAGAAAAGAAATGGAAATGATATGCCTGCTAAATTTTGTCTGATTTTATTTTGCTTTGTATTTGAACTCTTGCTGTTAAATATAAAGAAAAGATGTTTCACAGACCAACCATTTAAAAGAATAAATATACCAATAAAAGCACATGAAGACCAAATTGCAGCCCAAAATACAGTCAACATTTTACAGTCAGGGTTATACAGTCTTCAAATATCTAGAAGAAAAGAGATATTTATGAAATGAACATTTTAAGAAATGCATACAATCTGTACAAACAGATCATAATAATAACAACCGTATCTTCTAATAGGTCAGTGGAAATGTATTTTTTCCAAAATAAGTATTTCATAATAAAATTGATTCTTTTACTCATTCCTCCAAATATTCAGCAGTGTGTATGGTACCTCTCAGAGAATGAAAAAAGGGATATCAGTATAATTTATAAATCTTTTTTTTTAGTAAGGCACGTATTTGGCACCTAACTTAGCCTTGACCTCAAAATACAGAGAAAAATAGAAAATGAGAAACATGATAACATCTTCTGACAAAACTCTAAAAATATGTTTTCGGCTGTATTTTCTGTGCTTTTGGGTATGCTTACTTGGCTTCTGCCATTTTGTATTAGCAAAGTTATAAATGTGGACAAATTGACACATTGGGAGTTGTGCTTTCTGTCTGACCCCAGTGAGTCTGAAATCCCCAGAACTGTTATATGTGTGGAATACTACCACAATCAAGTATCTAATTTGTCTATTTTTATTTCTTTTTTTTTTTTTTAATGAATATTTTATTTCCAAGGTGGCAATAGTTTTCATGCATAATCTTTGTTTTGGTTTGGTTTTTCTTAGTTCTGTTACTAACCTGAGCTTCCTCACAGTGGTGCTCTGTAAAATAAGGGACAATTTCAAAGCTCATCATGCTTGAGTTGTAGCTTTAAGTCATTTGAGAGGCTTAGGATAAACCCAGCATCATCTGAAAAGTTCTCTTTTAAATAAAGGTCTGCAAAATCTTACTTGAGCACCAGAATTATGTTGGTGTGTGCATTTTTGTGTGCAGGTACAGTAAAAACTTTTAAGGGAGTAAAAGCTTCTAGTGACAGGAGCGCATAATTCTGATGATGACTGTATCACTTATTTGTTAGCTTAAGAAAAATATAAACAGACTGGAATGCTTGGAATTCTTTTTAAGCAAAAATTATGTTACAGTTCAGTCCCTTAATATTAGGAACTGTTTTGTTATGGTTCAAATATAGAAAGAGAAGGTCAGATCCAATATCCATGGAGTGAGGCACTAAAATTAATAGAGCTCAAATATATCTATGTGATATAAAATATATATATATATATAATATATAATAATATATATATATATATATAATATCTATGTGATAATCTAATATCTCTTTCCAGGTAAACAAAAAAAGGGAGGAACAAAGAATTAGTGGAGTTTGGATAAAAAAAAGAGAGAAAGACATTGGGTTAGATTGGTCCCCAGAATTTCTTTTCTTCAAAATTTATTTTATGACTCATTGTTTCCACAGATTTGATCTCTATATATTTATTTCTAGATTTTCCTTTGATTTGTTTCTTTTTTTTTTCCATATTTCTTTGGTCATTTCGTATCTTTCTGAACCAGTTTATCATATATTCACTTTTTTGGTTCTTACAGTTTCCTATTTGCTTAAAGATTATTATGTGACCATAATTTAGTATGCATTCAAGCAAAGTAATAAAAATAAAACCTTGGGGAAAAGAAAAATAATTGTGAAAAAAAAAAAGTCATGTCTTATATTTCACTGCAGAAAATGAATTTAACACTTAAATAAATATTACTTCAAAGGAACAATGCAGAGTGTGCACCAATGTATGTCACTATTTAATCACCAAAGAATATGTTATATTTATTCAAGCAATTTTAAACATTAAAAACCCCTAAGTCCTTGTAGAATTTAAGATGTCCCCAGAGGCTTTACTGTGGCTATATTATAAACTACAATGATATTTGCCTAACCTGAGAATTCTTAATTTACTCAGTTATACAAGAACCATGCCTGTGCATCTCAAGACTTACAATGTTGTGTAAACAGTAGTACATTTTGTGAAAAAAAAAAACAAAACAAACACTGACCTGGGAAGATAGATTGGGTTTGGGGTTTTTTCTTTAACAAAATGCATCAAAGATCAACATAACTGGAAGTCAGCACAAATATATGAAACCAGTCAGACTAAGCAGTAGTGACAATGTGATTTTGTAAATCATAGCAAGTGCTCATACTTACAAATTAAGTTTTTTCACTATCCAGTTCCCAATATGAAGTAAGCTATTTGCTTCAAGGAGGGACAAACTCAGAACAATGTAATGTCCTACTGTTTTGCCAAATGGAAAAATGCAACGCGAAGGAGGAAAGGAGTCCAAATCTAAACTGAAATTGATAGATGAATTTCTATTTATTTCTTTTTTTAGTATCCTACTCCTCTACTGAAAGTATACAGGATATATCTCTAAAGCTGTCAACTGTGGAGTGGCTAAGAGTGAGTCTTAATGAGTAGTGTTTTATACAGTCTAAAATAACTTAAAGAAATATGAGGAAATACTGTTTCACTTTCAAAGGATGACAATAAGTAGTGCATTTTAAAATTTTCTGTTACGTGTGTAGTCAGATACTAATAATGTAACTGTTAATATTCAGTTGACAATTTTAAAAGTTCTTACTACTCCTCAACTCTTCTTGTGGTACTTATCAGTAGCAAGTTGCAATACTTCCAAAAATAGTAATCTTTCTTTTACTGAAAGTAAAGGGAGTCAGGAATAATGAGCATCCATCTGAGTGAAATTATGAAAAATTATATGCCTCTGCCAGTTTTACTTTACTTAAATTGTAATATGATTGGTCTGTGACTCACTACAGAATTGATATCACGGGACATTTTGCTGATATTTTAGTGCACATATAAAAAGGCTTTTTTTTTTCCTTGCTGTTATCCTGTATCTTAAATTTAATATTTGTCTTTCCACTTACCTCTTGGAATATGTTTTAGCTAACCTATTATTAGAGAAAATAATTCCAATGTATGAAAAACAGCAGATATATTTCCCAAATGCAATACATACTAATTTTTTAATGTTAATTTATTCACTTTTTAAAGTTTTCATTTCTTATTTTACTTTATTTTCAGATATTTTCCTCCTGTTTTGCCTTCAGGTTATTCCCTATACATGTGAGCAATACACTTCCTTACAAGATCTCAGTCCTTTGTTCTTACATGTATTCAAGATCTACTGAGATAATTTGTCCATGTGCAAAGTGTAACAGTAACTTCAAAAGAGTGTAGTTCAACTTTTCCTTTTGATAAAAACCTATGGCATCTTTCTTCAGCTAGCCTTCATGGAAAGCACGTAATATTTCTAGTTTGGGCTTCTTGAAGTTATGTATAGGTTATATTTTTCTCAAAACTTCTCATTTGTTCATCTCATTAATTTCCACATTATGACTGTCACTTGTTTTGGTCTCATTCAGCAGCTGGCATTCTCTTTTTGACATATTTCCCCTTTGCCCGTCAAGAAAAAACACAACCCCGAAACACCATAATGGAGAATGTCATTAAAAGCTAATGTTCTCTAAAGAACATGATAGCTTATATTCTGTAGAGTTCTGCTCAGCAATTGATTACAGAAAGTTTTCCAGATTGTCCAAAACACTAAGTGTGTTTTTTAGAAAGGATTCCTGACATCTGACCTCTTTCTTCCAATTTCTCATCCTTTATTCCTCCTTTTTTTATTCTTAAGAAAAATCTCAGGAGAACCTCATGAATTATTCCCTTCCACATTGTCTTCTCCCGTGGGAGGCTATGGGCCTACATACAAGCTTCTCTTTGTGAATGGTTAAATTGTTCTTAGTACAACACTGTTATGACTTTAGAGCAATGGTCAGAAATATAAATGCCCTGTCTGCCAAGAATTCGAGAGAGAGTGTGTGTGTTTGTACTTCTGATAAAATCTCAAGTGAACCATAAATGTAGGGGAAATATTCCTCAATCTTTTTTATCTGCTCTCCAAAAATAACAACTCTTAAAAGTAAAAAACTAAGAAAAAAAAATAAATTATTAGGATATAAACTAGAGGACTTAAATTTCAAGAAAGTGAAGATCAATAATCAAAACAGAATAGTGTCATAGTTCTGTCCAGGACAGGGGCTGTTTTTGCAGTAGCCAGATGGGGACATGTCTAGGACCTGGAGGTAATTCTGTGCCACCTCATGTCGTTTTCTGGTGATGAGGAAAGGGCTCCCTTCCAGGTCAGGTAGCCTGGGGGAGAGGGGGCTGGGTGAGCAATCACATGTGTGAATCACTTGCCTCTTTTTTCTTGTGCAATCTGTCATTAGTATTGTTGCTGTTACTGTTCATTCTCTTATTTCATTGCTATTTCCAGTAAATTGTTCTTATCTCAACCTCTGATCTTTACCATTTGTGCCTCCAATTCTCCTCTCCAGTCCGCCACAGGGGCAGGAGGGTGAGTAATTGAGCAACACGTGGATTGGAGGGTTTCAGTGGGAACACTAAATTGTGGAATACCATTCCTAAACCATGACAAATAGATATTCAAAATTCGTGTAAACCAATTTCTTTATTTACGAGTGTGCTAAAAGAGGGAATGCCTGCTTGCGGGGATTAGTCAATGCACTGACTTTCTGATTTGCAGCAGCAAGCTCTGCATGCTCTTGCTTCATTCCTTAGGAGCTTTTTCTCCTCTCTGATGTTTTCCCACTGGCCCTCTTACTCTGCAGAGTCTTTGATGGGGGTCTCTCACCCTTATGTGAGGAAAAGTGTAGGAGTCCTATGACATGAAGGGAGCACCAGAACCTCAGAGGTGATGCTCCCACTTTTTGGAAGACAGTAACTCGTAGTCCAACAATGAAGAAA